AGGACACTGTGGCAGCGGGGTGGGAAAAGCAAGGGAAAGGGGGGTCTGGGACCCTAACAGGAGGTGAGAGCAGGGCCGGGCTTAGCTCAGGTTAGAAGCAGACCACAATGACTTGGTTGTCACATCTCTGCAGCCGCAGCGCTGGCCGGGTGCTTGTCCTGAGAGACGTCAGGACGAGCTTTGTGCAGATGTAGGTTCTGGTTTTATTTCCCCTCCCAGTCATTCTGATTTCAGTGCAGCTACCCACGCACGGAACGAGGAGCATATGTGTGAGTTTGCGAAGTTGTGATCCCACAGACGGGATGCGATGGGACCGAGGTGCAGTTAGAACAGGCTGTGTTCCTGCGTGTTCATCCGGCTCTCCGTGGAAAGCCAGGAGCAGCCCCGCTGCGGTCAGCAGCTCAGCACCGAGGGGTTATTTTGCATGAGGAGAACTCAGCACGAAATTAACTCCGCTCTCATTAAACACGGGCCAGTTCTTCCCTGACTCCAGGAGGCATTTTGGTTTGGGTTTTTTGGCATGCCACTTTTGTTTCCATTTAGGATGATATTGTCTAGCATACTGTTGAATTTTGTGTGATTTTGAAAGTCCAATTTATCTTTTTGCCTTTAGGAAAGAAACAGACTAAACTAACCCTTAAAAACTGCGAAATTTATTTTTCAAATGCAAAAGACATTTTAATTACCCCTGCTGCCATTATCTATTCCAGGCAGCTTTGAGCATTTCCCAGATAACCTCCTATTAATCAGCCCCAGCTGAGCCCAGAGTGCATTTCATGTGTAGGTACAGCCTGGAGGTGGGAGAAGAAGAATTATAATAAATTAATAGATAAGCAATCACAATTAATGCCACTTTCCTGAAATAACAGTTATATCACGGGAAAGATATTTTAATCTGTTGTTCCTTAAGGCAATGTTTTCCTAGCTTGCAATGCATGTGCTTCAGCTTCCCCAGTACTAGACCCATGGGGTGCTAATGAATTAGTCTATTATGTTATACTGAATGTTTCTAAAAGGTCCCCAGTCAATACCGAGTACAGTGCATCAACACTTGGCATGAAACGCTCAACGCTGTGCTCGGCAGCAAGACTACAGCTCACTGACTGCAGCATGAGGAGCCCCATCAGCCTTTTCTAGCTGAGGAGGAGGAGGAGGAACTCTGCTGAGCCTGTGTCTAACGCACGCACAGCCTCTACATCCTGCAAAGCCCCAAGCAGCGACAACCCCCTTAAACCCAACGCTCCCGGGAATCCCTCAGCGCCCTGGAAAAAGGAGCCCTTGCAAACACGGCAGTTTCCCCGCTGCCTGCTGTCACTGCTGCTGCTTACGGCAGTTACGGGGAGGCAGGAGCAGGAGCCTCTTCCCACACTGGGAGTCGACATAAACAAACATTATGCACCAGACCTGCCTCCTCCCCATCAGGCACCAAACCAAACCAGTCCAGTTTTCCACTGGCGCTGGTAATTGGGTACTCCTGTTAAACTGAATGTACCTGAGGCTCGTGGCACGACACGATTGCACTCGTGACCGAGTACATCAGGGTTATTACTCAAACTGTGCTGAACACGCACACCTCCCATTAAGACCACGGCCGCTGCTCCCAGCAACAGCTGCCCAAGCAGCTCCATGCCCAGACAGGGATCCTGGGCGGTCTGTGGCAGGCACACCATCCACACGCTCTTCTGCTCACCAGCAGACAGAGGATGCCCTTCCCAGACACTGCTTTTGCAGCTTCCTCCTGCGGGTGCCAGATGTGGTGAGGACCAGACCCCGGCACTGCCGCCTGCGACTGATCAACCAGAGCTGGGGAGAACTCTACCTGGGGAGGTGGGAGAGCCAGTGTGAGAAAGGGGGTGAGCCACACATGGACACTGAGAATAAAACCTCCTCAAAGGTAGTAGGATGGAGGGGAGAATTAATCTGCAGTACGGAAAATAATGAGTGAAAAGGAATGTAGATGAGGTGGAAAATAGAACCAGATGTTTCAATTTGTGGCTGTGCAGAAGCAGAAAATCCAGAAGAAACTGATATGGCAATTCTCCCTCACACCTCTCTGTGTTCTGACACTCAGCTGGTATTCTTCATTATCCTGATTCCAGGAAATGATAAACGGGGTTGCAGCTGAGATTTAAACTGGAACCAAGAAGGGACCAGATGGGAGGTCAGCTTCTATAGGAACTTGGTGAAATGAAGGATCAGTGGAGAGCAGAGGGACAGGGAGGGCACCCAAAATACCAGCAGGGTCTGAAAGGTGGCCAGGGCTGGTGGTCCCACAGCTGTACCATGGAGACCATGAGGGCTGGAGCAACCTGGATCAGATTTGTCACATACGGTCACATTCTGAGGGGAAAATGATCTGCTTTTGCAACCAAAAATGACTGCCCCACAACAATTTCCAGAACACAAGCTGAAGTGTCTGACAAAAAGTTATGAATCCTGAAAAAATGAATCCATTCTAGTGGGTCAGGCACAGGATCGCTGCACGCCCTCACACCGGATGATATAAGCATCTATCCGAGGTTAAACAACTGTATTTGCCCTTAGTTACCGTAAGTCATTTAAAAGCCAACATTATGGCCTGGTTTTCCCAATGCCCTTTAACAAAATATGAAGGTTTGTGCTTGCAATTTTTCAGGGGGAAAAAAACCCAACAAACGACAAAGACCCTGAACTCTGTTGTGGGTGTGATTAATGACTCGGTCCCTGGCTGCACCTGCAGATTAACACGTGGCATCCATCAGCAGGACGCCTTGGGGGTGCAGAGTCAGAGGGCAGCACTTAAGGAAAAGATCAAACCCCCAAAGCTTATTAAAGCAGAACAGCTGTAAGAATTCCTTGCCCTCCCACTGAGAATGAAGTCTCGGTTGCTGGCGAGTGCTGGTTTTATTCTGCTTTGCTTAGGGCGGTGTGTTTTAGGACCAGTGCTTTTCCAGCAGCCCCGTGGGCAGAACAGAGCCCACTGCTGACGGGCGC